AGACTATCAGATTCACAAGTCTTTCTCCTAGTCTAATTGGATTTCCAATATGGCAGAACTCCTGAAAATCTTGATGCCTTAGCTACGTATGTGATAAAGGGGATTTTTAATGGCATTAATCTGTATTGTAATAAGAAATCCCTTTTGTAAATCTGGCTCACAGTGTTTGAAAGCAGACATACAAAAAGAACGTCAAACCTGGCAACACTAATGACAGCAATTTTAACAATGGAAAGGGACCTAGCAAATGGAAAAACATGTCACATATCAGTCCAAATACTTCTATTCCTTTTGCTAAACCCAAAGGGTGATTTGAGAAAAGATCAGGCCATTCAGTGGAATATTATTTACTGGCTTTGTGAGTCTTTGCACCTACACAGTTCTTTTTCACCTGTACTATGCATTAGAAGAGAGTGTTTATCTCAGTTATGGAACGAAAAAAATTACTCTTAGAAAAAGGGAGTTATCACCGAATTAAAGTGAAATAAATTCTCCTGGAAATCATGTAAATTCCTTTCAGCCTCACTCAAGAGAACTTAATTTTTAAGTTCAACAATAAAGAACTGCTAAATTCTCTTAAACTCAGTCATCTGCTTTCTAAGCACACTCAAAACTCCAAAAAGGTATGTAGTAACCACCTCCTATAATTTTAACAGAGATTACTGAAGAGGAATTTTCAACTGTTCACGGAGGCAAAATTCCAGTGCAAATAACCTTCAACCAAAATTGTTTACATTCTGATTTCCTTTAGACAAGATGGTCAGCCAAATTTGTGATAATTCCAAGATAAAGTTCATTCCCTTTATGCATATGATAATAGCCTTTAAGGAAAAATAAAAGCGTTATTTAAAAAACTTACCAATTACTGTTTCTTTATATATGCATGTGCACACAGACATACCCCTGCACCAGTGGAGAATACCAGCTCTGAGATTAACTAACTCATTAGTTAACCTTAACGTGGCTGCAATTCTGTTATGTTTCTATAACTTTAAAAAAATAAAGTTCTAGAGGAAATCAAATTTTTATTAATGTAACTTTCTGTCTGTAGTTACTATGTAGCTACTAGGAGCTAACTATTGTCCACTTTTTTTTCCAGCTCCAACTAGAGGCACAAGCTATTACTGGTAGCTGCAGTAAAGCCAGAAATTCAGTAATCGTGGTTAAAGCTATGGCATTTAAATCTAGCTGGCACAATCAAAGTAATTACTGAGCATGTCTTTCAGAAGAAAAACAAAAGCACAGTAAAAACAGAATGGAAAATAAACATTTATAAACAAGTATTAAAAAAAAGGATGACACTGGAATTACATTGTTACAGCAATGAGATCAGACTTTAACATCTGGGTTCTTGTGTGACACAAATTCACATGTATCTACAAATACAACAGAAGTATTTTCATATTTTCTTGTATTTATCTCTAACAAGATCCTGACACTCAATTCTAAAAGTATGAAAAAGATTTTTTCTGTTTTGCTAAATCTATGCCTTGTAGGTATTTGTGACTATCGTATCAAGATGAGAGAGTAGTCCAGCTAAGTCCTATATCACAGGTATACTGTTCTTGATACCTAAAATACTACAGTGAGACTTAGCCTGACTGTCTGCCTCATCTCATACAAGCATCTCTTCTGTGTCTGGCATCAAAGATTATATAGCTAGGCAGTAAATACTTCTACTACCTCTGTAAAGTTGCTCTGAAGTCTTTCCACTTCACACTAGAACAAAAACTTTAGGCATCTTTCAGGAAAAATGTCAAGTATTGCTTCAAGACAGCCTGTAACTTAATGATATGAAGTTGGTCTTTCCTGTACAATCCAGTAACTGGAACTTCAGTCTTCCTGTTCCCTGACACACAGCGTCAGCAGCAGGGTACTGGTTACTCTGCAGTGGTCTCCTCCACGGTGAGAAATCCTACCTTCTTCTAACCTTACATAAATATTCCTGAAGAAGTCTTGACAAATTAGAATGTTCTCATAACAAATTTACTCAGAAAATTCCCCTGTGTGTGTGGTTATGGGATTTGACTAGCTACTTGACACCAAAGGAGTTGACAAAAAATTAATGTACCTTGTTGTCAAGAATAAATTCACTGTAATTAGTTTTTCACTATCTACATTATATTGGTTAGCAGGCATATTGGTCTCTTGGAGAAGTTCTTAAGTAAAAGGCATTTTCTGAGCAGTCAAAAAGCAGGAATCTTCCACTCATTTGATGAGTAAAAATCTTAAAAGAACCTGCACTGGAGCTGGAGAGATTAATGTTCTTCAGTGAACTGGGAACTCTGATCTTAGTTTTATCTTTTGTGAACTCAAATCACAAGAAGCAACAAAGGTCACTTAAACCAAAACTTTATAATAATGCAAACATATGGGAAAAGAAAACGCTTTTTCAAGGAAGTAGAAGCAATAATATGATTTTGCTCTGGACTGAACACCGAATTCTAAAACCACACTTTGAGAAACGCAAGGTGTAACGTTTTACTTAAAAAGCAGATCCTAGCACTAGGTGCTTTCCACCTAGGTCAGATCCAAAAGCCCTGATCATAACTCCATAAAGCTTTGGCTAAGCACTGAGCATTCCAGCACATCTGAAACCTCATAGCTCCTGTTATTTGTTACAGAAGCTCAAAGCCTATTACTTTGCTTGAATTTACTGATTCCTCAAAGTAAAAACACTATTTACCACCTCAAACTGACAGAGGAAAAAGAACCTAAATCCATAATGTCCTTGATCCCATTTGTCTGCGTTAGTAGCAACAAAGGTGTAATACATTATCTTCTTTATAAATCCATCGATGTCACTAACTAAACAAGTCCAACAGATTTGTGGCCTCATCTATAGTAAACTGAAATAAAAGAGAACCTTTCCACTGAGTCTTATCTGATGGATATTAATCCCCTTCTCTCAAGAAGATAGCTTGTCTATGGACATAATTCTGGAAGAGGAGAAAGCCGCTTGGCCTAGTTTGTGGATACTTTCATGATGTTGCCTAATTAAAAATTCACCACATTCACTCAATTCAGCATTCTTTAATGTTCTCAGGAGAGCCATTGGAAATGATTCACTAAGAAGATGATAACCATTAATCAGCCTATTTTGCAAACTCCATCAAAGTGCAAGAGTACTGACTAAAGCACGCAGCAGTGCCACATCATTCTTACCTATATGGTGATTGAAGTTCTAGCAGTAGTATCTCCTTCAATTTTTTTTTATTTATTTTAACCTCCAGATTCAGGATAAAAAGGAACGTTTTAGTCTTGGAGACAAATTCTTACCCACATGAATAGGATCCTCAAGCGCAAACAAACTGTATTTTGAAGGGTCATTTGAAGGACCTTACAGAAAGGTAATTTTTTTAAATGCACGTTTAACTGTCCCTGATTTCTCTTCATGAACCTAACTGATAATGTTGATTTCTATTTAAGGTAATTTTTACTACTGACTCTGGGATTTATTTACAAATACTGTTTCTTTTCTTGCTTGTTGCTGAACATTCTAACCAATTACACTTCTGTAAACACAGAATAACTTCACTGGTTTCAGTGATCTAATTTGGGATTGACTCAACACAGGCAAATTAAAGAACTGAGTTAGCAAAGGGCTACGATTTAAATACTTTTTCTGTCTCTTCAAAAAGCACAGCTGCAGTCAGAAGAAGAGAAACATTCATACCAAAGTTTAACATAATTTTGGACTGAAAACACTCAGTCTATCTTTTCCTCAGTTGTTGAGCTCTCCATGTTTCTTTTCAGGTTGAAACTAGATGTCAATGAAAACCAGTGCATCACTTACTATGAGAAAGAACTACTGCTGCCATATATAAATATGCAATAATGTATGTGTAAGCAATTACTAAAACATAGAACAGGACTTAAAAGAGAAAAAAAATTAAGCAAATTATAACAGTGAAATCTTTTAGTACCTGCGCTTGCCTAATGAACCAATGAAACCAATTACATTAAGAGAGTGCAGTAGCTTCAACTGGAACCTTACTGAGATATGTGATTTTCTTATACAATCTTCATGCCAAATTTTTGGTCTGTTCGGTTTGTGTCATGATTTCAGAACATTTTGATTTTGTTTTGGAAGAAGTATCGATTTCACTCACATTTCCAGTAGCTACCTCTTTAGAAGACCTTGAAGAGCCTCTTATCTATGATATATTTCCAGCATCAAGAAAAATCAATGTTAAAACATGAGAGGTGAGCAGAAATAGCTTTCTGAAAGCAGATATATTTCCTTCAGCATGAAGATACCATTTCTAGTTTGATCATACATTGACTGTGAGCAATAAGGACTTTCACAGTAGTTATGCAAGGTGTAGAAAAATCTGTCTGTACTTCAGACAGGTAATACATTGCCACAGAATTTCAAAACTAATTAATTTTGGAACTTGCAAATTATTACCTGTGTACGTGTATATATATATACACACACTCATTTGTAGTTGCAAAGATGGAATTATTCTATGAATAACTCCTTTCCTACCTTCTTTGACTTCATTAAAGTATCAAAATGGCATTAATACAGATACAAATACGCCCCAATTATAGCTATTTTTCTGCATGATTTCTTTTTTGGTTTTGCCAGGTTGGAATATTTTTATACGTGAATATATAAAGCAAAGCCAAAAAACAACAACATAACAACTGCAGCTGTGACAATACTGAATAACATGACTATACAGGAATAATAATAACTGAATAAAAATAACTATTCCAAAGGAATTTCAAACACATGCTTTCAAGTGACTGTATTATGAAGGATCGTTATGGGAAAAGTATGAAAAAATTACTACTGTCTTTAATCCCTTATTTACTGTTAGTCTAAAAGGTGAGAAAGTATCAGGAAATTTATGAAAGCATATATTTCTTTATTCACATTTAGTTTCCTCTTTCAAAAACTTTCAGGGTAAGTATGGCCTTTCCATACTTAAACATTGCAAGTGTAATTGAAGAATCATTAATCTATTATTTCAGTTCAGATATATACTTACCTAAAAATGGATCACTGTATTCTGTATTAGACAGCTTAATCAAGTTGTTTTCCAAAGTCTCCATCACTTTAGCTGCAATAAATGCAATATTCATATCAGCATTCACATGTATTTTGTAAGTAAAAGGTACACTTTTTAAAGCTGTCAGTGACTCAAATGAAAAGCTTAAGGCTGAAATTTTGAAGAGCATTTTCCATTGGTGGAAAAAAGAACAAGATCACTTTAGTGAAGACTTTCACTCTGTTCCTGAGACAGGTTTAACTTACTGGAATAATACTAAGCGCCTATCAACATTAAGGAAGGACTTTGCAAAATTTAGTAGCAGAAACCAGCAGAGTTAATTTATTCTATGAAGTCAGCAATAGTGTATGGCAATAGTTGGCAACAGGAGACACACAGTGACTGGGATCTCCTACTAGACTAGTCTCTCTATTAAAGCATGTTTATCTGTCAAAATAGAAATTCTAAAATAAAAGTAGTTCTTTTTCCCAACACAAGCTAAAATTCATAGGGATCTTCTCCCTTTTGTCTCATTCTCTCCATACCACTCTTCCCTGATTCTGCTACTCATGAATGAATGCATCTGCTACTACATGTTCATACTTAAACACATTTCTTGCCAAAAGCCTTTTATTTTTTCTCTCTCTCCCAGGACAGAACTACAGAAATTTTCATGCTCTTCCCCAGCATACGGGAGCACATTCTTGTCTTGTTTTCAATGAGAAGGAAATAATCTTGTATTTCAGAAAAATTAAATTAAAATTAGTTTAAGCCTCACTGCAACATAACAGAGACCCACTCAAGAAGTCGGTACCCATGGTTCTTCTAGCTGTTTTGTGCAAAAACATCTCTCCAACAAACTGTAGACATCTAAACAAATCAAAGCTTATCTGATGCCTTTATAATTCAATGAAAGAGGCTAAAAAAACTGTATCTAAGACACCATAGGACTTCAAATGATGTTCCCATAGATCCCTTCCATTCCCAGTGTTGGAATAAACAGTGTCAAGCGGTGTCCCTCAGGGGTCTGTTCTGGGTCCAGTGCTGTTCAACATCTCTGTCAGCGACATGGATGACGGCATTGAGTGCACCTTCAGTAAGTTTGCTGATGACACCAAGCTGTGTGGTGCCGTGGACTCACTTGAGGGAAGAGATGCCATCCAGAGGGACCTTGATAGGCTTGAGAATTGGGCCAGTGCTAACTGCATGAGCTTCAACAAGTCAAAATGCAAGGTCCTTCACCCGGGTCGGGCCAATCCTAGGCACAAATACAAACTGGACACAGAGTGGGTTGAGAGTAGCCCTGAAGAGAAGGATTTGGGGGTGTTTATAGATGAGAAGCTCAACATGAGCCGGCAGTGCGCTCACGCGGCCCAGAAGGCCAACCACATCCTGGGATGTATCAAGAGAAGCGTGGTCAGCAGGTCAAGAGAGGTGATTTTCCCCCTTTACTCTGCTCTTGTGAGACCCCACCTCGAATACTGCGTCCAGTTCTGGTGTCCCCACCATAAGAGAGACATAGATTTGTTGGAGCATGTTCAGAGGAGGGCCACAAAGATGATCCAAGGGCTGGAGCACCTCTGCTACGAGGAAAGGTTGCGGGAGCTGGGACTGTTCAACCTTGAAAAGAGAAGGCTTCGGGGGGACCTAATAGCTGCCTTCCAATACCTGAAGGGAACCTACAGGAAGGCTGGGGAGGGACTTTTTACAAGAGTGTCCATTGATAGGACAAGGGGAAATGGATTTAAGTTGAAGGAGAACAGATTTAGATTAGATCTTAGGAAGAAATTCTTCAGTACGAGGGTGGTAAGACTTTGGAATAAATTGCCCAGAGAAGTTGTGGATGCCCCCTCCCTGGAGGTGTTCAAGGCCAGGTTGGACGGAGCCTTGAGTAGCCTGATCTAGTTGAAAAGTGTCCCTGCCCATGACAAGGAGGTTGGATTAGATGATCTCTGAGGTCCCTTCCAGCCTATGCCTTTCTATGATTCTCTGATTCTGAAAGAGAAAAGCCTCCTACCTCGTTCTGACACTACATCCACTGTAGCTGTAGATGTCCCTGCACTTAGAGGCTGAGGCCGGGGCTGTGGCTGCACACGATTTGGCTGCAGAAATGACGAATGCTTGCTCAGACTCTGAGGATGTGTTTGGCTCTGGGCTAGGCATGGCATTGATCTTCTAGAGGGTTTTAATGGATGATCTTTCACTGTTTCACTCTTGCTTGTATTCATACCTGAAAAAGCCAAAAGAAAAAGAACGTGAGCTCTGCCATATTAGGCAATGACAAAGACAGCCAGCTAATTATGAAAACTCAAGGTCATTCATTCACTTAATAAGCAACATCTCAACTAAACAAAAATGTTTAAAATATTTAAAGTTCAAAGAAGAATACAGAGTTGGGAACAAAATCCAGGAACTCTTCACCTGCTCTTCCATCAATATCTCACAAATTGAATTCACAATATTCTCAATCTGATGATTCTGTGGCACAAGTGATACATTCTAAGCAAACGACAGCACCCAGTGTCATCCACATTACGACTGCCACACAAAATTTTAATTCAGTAGTAGAAATGAATGAAAACCCTTAAACAAGCAAAGAAAAAACAAACAAACAAACAAAAAAAATCTAATACAAGCAAAAGATGTTCACAAGCTTCCTGAAGGATTCATAAACACCTTCTCCTTTGAAATGTAGCTGTTTGCCAGTTCTGATGAGTCTATTAGCTGTTTCTAGTTTTTCTTCTGGGACACATGCACAATCTTGGGTTTTCATATGTGTTGCCTGCCTTTAGGTTCAGGTGCCTACATACAGACGGATGCACCTGTCAGTTGCGTGGTATCAGTGAAAACGTTTGAAAAAAATCAGGTTGTTAATTTCAAAGTAAAACGTGATTCTATGATATCTGTTTTCAGTGCATCATTGTAAAAATGATGCAAAACTCATTCCCTGTTCTGAGTTTCTTCCATCTTAATATTACTACTCTGTGTTTCCAAAATACATCTCACAATTTTTTTTTATAATTAGCATGGTCTCTATTGTATCCCCTTGTTGGCAACAGAATAAACTTCATATAGTAATTGCTTACATTGCCTGCCCACAAACAAGAGATTGGCTACATTTCCTAAACTTACACTTACAGTATGAGGCAGTGAGAACATTATCTGTCATTTGAACTTATGGAACTTATTTTTAACTCTCTGAATTCTGAAACAAATTTACCCTTTATGTTAACTGTGATCTTCATTAACACTAAATTTTAATAATAATTTCTAAAATTTCTACTTTTTCTAAAAATTCACAGGGAAACAGTAAATAATTCAAGTGAATCTGTCTAGGAAAGTACAACTGATGATGTAATAGTGACAAGAAATAAGTGGAAAGAAGTGGAACCAATTTTCCACCTCTTTTACTTGAAAGGCTCTTTGCCAGGATGCCCAGAGTTCACTCCTGCCCAGTTTGCAGTGTGCAGTCCCCAGCCATGGTCCCAGTACAGTTCATCAATGCATACCAAAAAATGCATTGACATCAACTCTGCTGACATTATCACTGTTATCATTTAGAATTTATAAAGTGCTACAACATGCCATGAGAACATTATTCTTTCCTTTTTACCTCTGGTGCTATAAAAGTGTTCTCATTAATATTATTTTAATTACACTAAGCTACAAAAATGTGGGCCTGAAACAATTTAATAGCACTCAATTACACACACTCACTGAATACTAAGTATCTCATAAAAGAACAGGAATATAAAAGGAGACCACCATGCAAACCTGCAGAAATAGTCATTAGTATTAAAAATGTTACTGTGGAATGAACAAATGACTAAATATATTTCGTTTTGTTACCATTCTACTATCCATAACTGTTGGATATATCAGTAGCTGAAGAATATTGTAGTTTCAAAGGCTAATACATGGTAGTCTGGTATTCATTTTTCTCTATGTGAATCAAGTTTCTTCCTTGGAAAATATCATATTCATCACTTCACATATAAAACCACAATTATTTTGAGTGTTCCCCCTGTTCCCACATAGGCCTTCTAATGCAAAAACATAATAAGGCCATCAGCTATGGTCTTCAGTTCCCAACTCCAATTAACAAATATTAATGCATCTAAGCTTGACCATAAATTACTTCACATTTTAGTAAGATTTACATTAATATCAAAAGAAAGATTCTTCTGAGGAAAAAAAAAATGTTTTTATTCCTCCGTTTAGTTGTTGCTGACCTTCAGCAATATTTCTTATTACTGCACTAACACACACTATGACTTGTCTGTTAATATATTGAAAAGGAACCAAAAAATCATAGAAGTGGCTATATGAAATTCTTCTTCATTGAAATTAAAAACTGTGACCACGAAAAAAGACTTAGTAGTTATAATACTGAATCTATCTTATGGCATTCTTGCTAAAATGTAGTATAAGATTTTAAAACAATAAAATCAGCTGATGTGCTAAGCTGTTGAACAATAATTCAGTGTTCAAAGTAGTACACACTATTTCAGCACTTTTTTTTGTATGACTGGCTGTTTCCGTTCTGAGTGTGATAATTATTTACAATCAAAAAATATGCAACTACCCTTTCAAGATGATAATTTTATCAGTATCCAGCTGATTTAACTCCCATTTTAGATTTCTTCCCAAACATGTATCTTTCCAAAAGCTCAGGAATTTCTCAAGACAATCAAAATCTGACACTGTCAATATTTACAAAAACAGGGCCATATACAGCTATCATTGTCCTTAAACACACCCTTTATTCCACTTGAGTAATTATAATTCGATGTATTTCTAAATATTCAGGTTTGACAGATAGTAAATAATTATTTAATAATGATTATAGAGTGATAATAAGAATTTACAACTGCGACTCTGCAATAAGTACACCTCATACTGTATATTGGTATTTGGCACAAAGAACGACTTACAGGCTCTACGAAAACCTATAATAAAGCTATTCCTAAAAGGCTCTTGTACACTATAAGGTGTGAATTTATTAAAAATAATTTTAAAAAAAGCTAAAATACAGATGCTACGGGCATTCCATTCTGTAATTTAGTTACACATTCCTTTCAAAGCAACAAAATTAATGTCCCCTTTGTCATTTTGGGATTATATTAATGCTCTTAATCATTGTACCTACAGGGTAACCTTTGTGAAAAAACATCACAGAAGCACCTAGTGGCAAAAACCCCCACAATTCAAAGTCAGAACAAAACAGTTGGGACAATGATTCGGGAAAAACCTCAACTCTTATAATTGATTCTGAGATACAAGGAAATCACGTAGCTTGCCGAAGTTTACATGGAAGCCCTGACTCAATCCAGGGCCTTGATGCACACCATCCTTGTAACAATAATTCAACACTGAGCAAAATCCAAGTCCATGAAACACTATATTCAGATCTATGATGGGCAGAGTTTGTTTCTCCTGCTTTTGCTTACAGTCACACTGTAACCCAGGAACCAGCAGGTCAGGCAGAAAGAACACGCTGGAGCACGGAGGTATCCCACGAGCTGGGTAACTAATGGATCGTGCCTGAAAGCTGGGGAGCAAGAGAATCACGTCACATCAGGGGACACGCGGTTTGTGCAGACCAGGAACCACGCTGTAAAGCAGGGAGCAACCAGCCAGGACACAGGTAGAGCAGAGAGAACTCATGAGGGACAGGAGGCAGCTGGCCAAGACGATCTTTGCCACTGGGCAATTGCTTGTTTCAACTTAAAAATTAAATTTTAAAAAAGCAAACATATTTGTACACATTTGCCAAGGTCTCATACTGCTCTCAGTGATTCAGTAGCTAGTTGCATGATTCATAGGAGTTCTTAATTTTTCATGAAGCTTTAAATTGTTTACAAAATTAGAAACATATTTTCAAAGACAAACACATCGTACATTTGCGTGGGTTGACCTTGGCCACCAGCTAAGCACCACGCAACCACTTGCTGACCTCCCCACAGTGGGATGTGGAGAGAGAATGGCAAGAGGAAGACTGAGAAAACCTCATCAACTGAGGTAAAGACAGTTTAATAAGTGAAGGAAAGAAGGAAAAAACAAAACAAAACAATGACGCAGCAGCAGTCACTCACTACCTCCCACAAGCAGACCAAAGCCCAGTCAGTCTTTGAGCAATGACTACCTCCCCACCCCTCACATTTTATTCCTGGATGTGGTGCTCTACAGCATGGAATATCCTTCTGGTCAGCTGGGGTCAGCTGTCCCGGCTGTGTCGCCTCCCAGTCTCTTGCCCACCTCAGCCTCCTCATTGCAGAGCAGAGCAGGGAGAAAGAGAAGGCCATGATGCTCTGCAAGCACTGCTCACCAATAACCAAAACACTGGGTTAACACACTTGATAACACAGTTATTAACACTGTTCTGGTCGCAGATTAAAACCTAGCACCATACAGGCTGCTATGAAGAAAACTAACCCCATCCCAGTCACACCTAGTAGATACATTCAAAAGTTCACGTCAGAAACTTTTGCTACTCTCTTGTTCAAAATATCTCAAGTTGTTCCACCAAGAACAATACAACGCAAACTCCAAGACTGTTGCCTTTCTGGTCAAAGTGAACTACATGGAAACACACCATGTAAGAAAAAATATAGTCCCCAAAACATCTGGGAAATTTTTACAAACAAGGATATTCACATAAACAAAGATTACAAATATACATTAATGTACCAAAAATACAAGGCGGATAAAAAAAATCCACAAAATATCTATAGTTTCAATGCCAAGGAAAATTAAATACATGAGGTTAGCTAAGAAGTGTGCTAAAGCCTCCTGTCCATACAGGATCAGCAGATCTTCTGTGATTGCTGTAAACAGTGTCAAAGATCCTCAGGAGATTAGTGTAGAGAGTGTTTCATTACACTATTTCTCTGTCTGACAGCACAATTTACTCTGCAGCATGTTCTTATAAATCTTAGTCTCTTAGTGATATATACTACCTCTCTCCCACTGTGCTAGAAAGAAATAAGTAACCTAAACATTTCTGCTCCTTAGAGTGCCACGAACTTCCAAGGAATTTTCCCCATCAAAATCTGTGCCGCTCAAAGAAGGATGTCACTCAGCAAGTGTCGCTCTTATGTAAATCTCAACATAGAAGCCCACAAAGAAGGTCATTTGATCAGCAGGATACTCTCCATACTTAACTACAATAGCTAAGGTTTAAAAGGGCCTTTTATTTAAAAACTTCCCTGAGCTCACAGAACAAG